CCCATATATATATATATATGTATGTATGTATGTATGTATGATCCCTTAAGATGCCACCAGCTCCTATCATTCCATCCTCCGATTCAGCTTGCTACCATCAGTACTGAGCTTTACCCATCTGAAGAGTGGTTTCTCCTATCCCTCTTCACAGCTATGCAACAGATGCATGCGAGGGGTTTAAAATTAGAAAATCATAAATTTCATTCCATCTGTACATACCTTCTATGTTAACATTGTGCTTGGGGATAACCCATTTTTGTGTTGGGAATAAACCCCACACAGCAATAATATTCACAATAATAAAAGCGAAATAATAATGCAGCACCGAAATACCGCAATTAACAAGAATAAAAGAGTAACTACGATACCAAGTTTTTTACGTGGAAAATCCTTATGAATAAGGAAAAAAAATACGACCCCAAGAGGAGCAACCGATATCATAGTAATGAATTTTACACTTTGTAGGCATGAGTAAAATACAACAAAGACCACTACAACACTTAAAAAAGAAATAACCCTCTTTTGATATTCCCACCTCATTGGAATATCGCTCACAATCTCTATTTTCCTCACATACTATTTTCTTATATACTATTTGTGATTCCTCACTCTTTCTCTCTCTCTTTGTTGATGTGTCTGAAGAAGTGAGAAAGCTCCCCCTTTTATAGGAAAAAAAACCCTGGGCTCCAAGTGTACTACAAGAGAATTTTAATTCTCCTCCACTTCTTTGCATACTTTAGCTCCAAGTAAAATCTTTCGCTAAGTTTCTCTACCAAAGAAAATTCATAGGCAAAAATAGGCTCAATCTCCCCCTCCAGTCTCATTCACCTGAAGGAGGTAACACCAGAGTTTTTAGTTTGAGTGCATGCCGAAAAGTTCTTTGCATAGCTCAAACTTGTCTCTTGGTACCATCTTGGTCAGTATATCCAAAGGATTCTCACTTGTATGGATCTTCTTGACCTGCATAGATTCATCCTCTATTCTTTCTCGAATCCAGTGATATATCACGTCGATATGTTTTATCCTTGCATGATACATGGTGTTTTTGCTTAGGTCTATTCCACTTTGACTGTCACAATAGAACACATACTCCTTTTGATGCATTCCAAGCTCTCGAAGGAACCATTTCAGTCATACTATCTCTTTGCCAGCTTCAGTAACGGCAATATACTTTGCTTTAGTTATAGAGAGTGCGACACACTTCTGCAACTTCGACTGCCATGATATAACTCCCCTTTAAAATATGAACAAGTACCCAATAGTAGATATACGATTATCAAGATCACCTGCCATATCAGCATCCGTGTAGCCCTTCAAGATTGCACCAGATCCTCCAAAACACAAGCAATCTCCAGTAATACCTCTCAGGTACTTCAATATCCACTTGACTGTATCCCAATGTTCTTTTCCAAGATTTTCAAGGAACCTGCTAACAACACCAATTGCATGGGCAATATCTGGTCTAGTGCATACATCAAGCTTCTGACTGCTGAAAAATAAGGAACTCTAGCCATATTCTCTTTCTCCTCCATTGTTGTAGGATATATCTTTTTTCTTAACTTTAGATGACGATCAAGAGGTATGATGACTGGCTTAGTACTTTTCATGTTGAAGCGTCCCAGTACACATTCAATGTACTTCTCTAGAAATAGCCACATCTTTCTGCATGTTCGCTCTCGAACAATCTTCATCCCCATAATTTGTTGTTTTCGGCCCAAGTCCTTCATATCAAATGACTTGGAAAAATCTCTATTCAACTTTGCAATCAGCTCCTTGTCTTGTCCTACAATCAATATGTCATCCACATACAATAACAATATAATATAGTTGTTATCAGAAAATCTTTTGAAGTATGCACATGGATCAGAATAATTCTTTGTGTAGGTTTGATTTTTCATGAATGAGCCAAACTTCATGTACCACTACCTTGGTGCGTTTCAACTCATATAGACCCTTATTCAATTTGTACACCATGTGTTTCTTTCCAGCTACTTCAAATCCTTATGGATGCTCCATATAAATCTCCACTTCCAAATCTCCATGAAGAAATGTAGTTTTCACATCCACCTGCTTCACTTCAATATCTAGGCTAGCTACTAAGATCAAGATTGTTCGAACAGAAATCATTGTGACAACAGGTAAGAAATTTCATCAAAATCAATACCTTTATCCTATTCGAAGCCTTTAACCATTAATCGAGTTTTGTATCTTATGAACTTGCCATTTCCATTCTTGAGTTTAAAGACCACTTGCATTTGAGTGGTCTTTTACCCTTTGCAAGTTTAACTAGCTTGAACGTGCCATTTTTTTGTAGAGACTCCATCTCTTCTTGCATGGCTTTCATCCACTAGTTCTTTTCTGGATGGGATAACACCTCCTTATGACTTTCTGGCTCCCCCTCATCATTGTTGAGTACATACACTATGGAAGGGTACCTGCATGATTCTACCCTTGGCCTTTTTGATCTCCTTAAAGGCTGAGATAGTCCTTTTTCTTGAGTAGGGTACTCCACTTGCTCGTCGTCATTATCAAGTTGCTCGCCCTGCTCAATAACCTGATCAGGTTGCTCCCCTTGCTCGGCAACCTCGTCGGTCATACTTTCTGTACTTATGGAATTGTTAGAAGTAGAAACGGCGGTAAAAAGGTTAGGGATTATACCATTCTTAGCCTTCTCTAACATATTATCAGTAGTTCCAATTTTACTTTCTCGTAAGACTACATCTCTGCTTCTGTGACCTTCTTTTTTATAGGATACCACAATCTGTACCCGAACTCTTCATCTCCATATCCGATGAATATGAAGGGAACAAATTTATCATCGAGCTTTGTTCTCTTCTCCTTTGGTACATGCGCAAAAGCTCTACAACTAATCACCTTCAGATGTGAGTAGGACACCTCCTTATTGATCAAAACTCTCTCTAGGATGTCAAACTCCAATGGAACTAATGGACTCCTATTGATCTGGTAATAGGCTATCTGAACTGCTTCACTACAGAATGACTTGGGCAATTTATCCATTCTAAGCATGCTTCTCACCTTCTCAATAATAGTGTGGTTTATTTTCTCTGCTATACCATTGTGTTGTGGGGTTCCAGGAACTATCTTTTCATGTTTGATCCCATGGCTTGAACAGTACTCTTTAAATTCCCTTGAAGTGTACTTACCTCCATTGTCAGTACTTAGCTTTCGACCCATCTCCCTTTTCCACCAGAGAATGAAACTTCTAGAACACTTGAAACACCTGATCTTTGGTTTTCAATATATAAACCCACAATTTACATAAAGCATCATCAATAAAAGTAACAAAATATTTGTTACCGCCCATCGATTCAAACCACAAACATCAGAAATACCAAATCAAGTATATTCAATTTTCTTTCAGACGAGGTTTGAAATGAGATGCTATGTTGCTTACCAAATAAACAGTAGTCACAAGGTTTTATCATTGTACCTTTGGAAAAATAGATGAGTGATTTCCCCTCAAGAATCTGCAATCCGTTCTCGCTCATATGAACCATTCTTATGTGCCACAAATCTACAAAAATCTCATCTTGTGCCACGTTAAATTCACCTCGGCATATTTCTGCATTCATTTATTCTGTACTACGTGCCACGAACAACTCTCTTTGCAATCACTAATGATCCCTTGGTGCGTCTCCATTTTTTATTTGCAAACTAATTCTTGTATCCATCTTGATCTAAAGCAATTTCCGAGATCAAGTTCATCCGCAAATCAATTACATGTCGCACGTCCTTTAAGACCAATATGCATCCGGCATTTGTCTTGATACAAATATCACCAATCCCCGCAATCTTTGAGTAACTTGTGTTAACCATTCTTACAGTGCCAAAATCACCTGCTATATATCTGCAAAAAAGATCTCTTACCGATGTGGCATGGTAAGATGCTGTTGTGTCAACTACCCATTTCAACTCTGGACCTGCTAATTACATGCATTCCTCTTTCTCATTTATGAAGAGAACAACATTATCATTATTTTGCACTATCGCAGTTGTGTTGTTGTCATTCTTGTGGACACTGATTTCACCTTTGCCCTATTTTACATTTGGGCAATCTCTTTTGATGTGACCTAGCTGATCGCAATTGTAGCAATATCTGGCTTTTGATTTGGATCGGTTCTTGGACTTCCCACGAGCTCCAGATCTACCATAATTTCTCGAACCCCTTTGGTGACTCCTAGCCCTACCTTCTGTGATGAGAGTGTGTCCTTGATTTTCAGGCTTCTTTCTCATCTTTTCATTGAGTAGAAGAGCCGATGTGACGTCTTTCAACTTAGTGATGGTCTTACCGTGCAAGATGGTTGTTGCTAATTTATTGTACGTAGATGGCAACGAGTTTAAGAGCAAGATGTATTTATCTTCTTCCTAGATCTTTAC